CAAACCGGAACAATTCTTGTGATGAAAGTGTCAGATGGCTCTTCCTCAGGTCTAGGTGGAAATGCATAAAAACAGGGTTGGAACCCACTACTCTGAACTCTACCTCTAGGACGACCGCTAGCTGGTTAGCCTCTACCTCTCTTAGCTTGACCTCCACCTCTAATGGCCTAACCTCCACCTCTAGCAGTCTGACCCCTGCCTATAGCTGGCTGAGTGGGCGGTGGAGCAACTGGTGCCGGAATTATGGCACGAGAACCCTGCTATGGCATGCCGCCCTATGACCAAAGGCAAAATCTTGCGACGTGCCTCGGATCTCAACAAGTATAAAAAGTCCTTGGTTGTTGTGACTGTTGAATCTGGAATTGACCCTGTCGACCTGAATAACCACCCTGATAACTCTAGATTGAAGGTACACTAATAGGAGTCGAAGGTGCGATGTAGGCTAGCTTCTCAGGACGAAACACATAAGAACCACGACTACCCGAAGCATGGTGCGATGCCTGAAGCGCTGACTGAATCGGACTGAGAGGATAACCCCTATCAAATGAACCCTTGACTCCAGACAAGGCACCAATGTAACCACCAAAATGTTGAGGCCTCTTCTCAAATATCGCCTCCCTACCCGGACCAAGAATTATCACGATCCGTCTAGCAATCTTTACGGCCCCCCAAAAAGAAATATCATTCCTAGTCTCCTTGGCCATCTGTAGCTTGATACTGAAAGTAAGTCCATCAATGAATCTCCTTACTCTCTCCCTTTTAGTAGGAAGTAAGACAACTGCATAGCGAGCTAAATCCACGAATTTGGTCTTATATCGGGTAACAGTCATGGTACCCTACTAAAGGTGCTCAAAGTGCCTCCGGCACTCCTTTCTCAAAGTAAAAGGTATGAACTTCTCCAAAAATAGTTGCAAAAGTTGATCCCAAGTGAATGGCATTGAACCAGCTGGGGTGCTTCGCACATAATCCTGTCACCACCTCTTGACAGGACCAGTCATCTGAAATACTGCAAAGGTGACTCCATTGGACTCTACAATACCAATGTTACGCAACACCTTGCAGCAACGATTATTGAAATAATGTGGGTCCTCAGAAGGTGTGCCACCAAAGCGAATATGATATAACTTTGTAAACTTATTCAGTCTCATCAATACCTTAGAAGACATTGCTGGACTCTCCTCGGTCTGCATACCAATAATATGTTGAGCAACTCTAACTGGTTGAACTGTCAGAGTCTGATATTCGTGAGCCATATGCTTTGGTCACTAATTGAAAATTACCCTAATGCAACGCTAGGAAATCCGTTGCTAAGGACACCTAAACTGTTACAATAGGGCTATTGCAACTATTATGCAACCGTTGCATTTGCTCGCGTAGCAATAGCTCTAAAGCAATAGTTCCTGTAACAGTCTCCAAAATTGTTGCTATAACACAATTTATGGCAACTGTTATTCCTCTTTTTTATGCAACGAATATTTTGCTCTACGACAACGGTTTCGAACCGTTACTATTTGATTTAATGCAACGACTATGTAGGCTACTAAAATGGTTATTTAAAGAGATTACTACGGTTCTTTATGCTACTGTAACGGTTTGCATGACTGTAAGGCCCCGTGAAAACTGGTACCCAAAAACCTAAAAGCTCGTAGTGCCAAGTTGCGGATATGTGTTAGGAGGGTGTAAAATTCTTCGCGACGAGCTTGCGAGCCGTGGTTCAGACCCTTTGTACTGAACTAAGCATTTAAAAATCAAGAATCAATGTTTTCTAGAAAAGTGCTATTATGCGGTCCAGAATGCGGTCGCAAATCAAGTATGCGGACAACACTTCTGCCGCAGATTGAGTCAGTGGTTTGGTTAAAATTAAGGTTAAAATGCGGTCCATTATGCGATCGCATAACTGATATGCGGACCGCATTTCTATCGCAAAATGAGTCCATGTGCCAGTCAAATTTGAGGTCAAAAATGCGGTGCATTATGCGACCGCAAATCGGGTATGCGGACCGCATTTCCATCGCAAAGCCAACCAGTTGGATCAGGTTTTTGGAGCACTTTTGTGGTTCATTCTGCGGACCGCATTTCATCTTTGCGTTCGCAAATGCGATCGCATACCTGACTCGGGGCTCTAATTTTTTAAATTTTTGAACCCGACCCCCTGTCGTTATATTTGGTGTTATAGCTCATTTTGAGCATTTTTGTGAGCATTTCTAGAGTGAGAGAGAGGGGTCTAAGTGAGAGAAAGTTCTCCCCATCAAATTACTCCATAGAATCTTGCTAAATCCTTGAAGCTAATCAAGTGAAGGCTCCTAAATCTTCATCCCAAGAGGTAAGGCTCCATCACCTCAGCTCATATTTGTATACTTAGCTATATGGGGTCCTTAGGGAAGTAATTCATGGGTATAAAAAATGAATCTCTTGCATGCATACCACACCATAGGACATTAAAAAGTAGTAAACTAAAAAGATGGCAATTGGGGGTATAGAATGATAGAAAATCCTCTCGAAGAGGGCCTAAGATCATAATGCACCTCAAGTGTTCGACATTATGCTTGAACCAAGCTAGAATCTCAACCTCGTCTCTAATTTCCGGTTTAATTTGTAATTCTTACATAATAGATCGAAGCGATAAGAGTTCCAGAAATTTGTAAAGAGTAAGGAAACCTATAGTGAGGTATGTATGGCTGAAACCCCCTTTTATTAGAAATTGAGCTCCGTTGGCGTTTATGAAAGTGTGGTAAGATTTGAATTGCTTAATGTATCGATTGTTATTGCGCATTAATTGATCTGCAATTATCTACCCATATACATGAAGGATGTGCCTTACTGTGATGTAATGTACCATTCTTGATAATTAGAGAAGTATGAAGAATACAATTATGTGTTGAAATGCTTAGACTATAAGCCAAGATTGAAACTGAGAATTTTCATGCTAACTATGTGAACACTTACATGTGCTTGCAACTTGAATTACTTTCGTATGTGCCTATGATCATAACTTGCAAGGTGAATATTGAAAAGGAAAATGATGAGATAAGTGTGGCCCAAAGTGCCCATGAATTGAATTATACATGAAAGATAATTGATTCAAGTGAGATATTAATGAGAAAGAAACCACGCCAAGGCAAGGCGGCCTAGCCGATCGGGCCGTGATCGGACACCATGCTGCACACATGGTGTGATGTGCTGATATTGAATTCCGGATAAGGGAAATGAAATAGTGATTGAGATATATGCCTCCAATGAGGCAACCTAGCCGGTCGGGTCGTGATCGGACTCCGCTCAGGATAGCGGTGGTATCGAGAACAGTGATGAACGTATGAAAGAAATGCCCCAAACTAAGTTATGGGAATTATGTGATGATTTGCATATTTGATTCACCTATGTGATTTACTTGTCGTTGCTCGGTAGTTCTTTCTAGTAAAATGGTGTTTAGTTATACATACTAGTACTATTCCATGGTACTAACGTCCCTTTTGCCGGGGGCGCTACATCTTTTTTAATGAATGTAGGTGGCTCCATAGCGGATAGTGCCGATCGTGTGTAGCGGAGCATTCTCCTTCTCAAAGATCTTGGTGAGCCCCTTTCTCCTTCAAGGGGCTACATTGCACACCTCTTGCCTTTTTGGACTTTCACTTTTGAGGTATAGCTGGGGCCTTGTTTCCGGCGTTGTCACATTTATCTTTTGTATCCTTAGAGGCTCCGTAGACATATATGTGGGTCATGTGTGGGGGTTGAATGGATGTGCTACCCGTGTTGTAATTCTAATCTTATGTTGCCTATGAATTTTAACTTTGCGGAAACTTTGGAAACTAACTTATCTACAGTTTAATGTTATGAACTAAAATGAACTAAAAATGTTGAATATACTATCTTCCTTTGTTGAATAAATGAAAACATGGTCCCCTTATGCGTATTGAGTTGGGTAGGTAGTGTTTGGTAAGTCTTGCTTAGTTGGGGTCACTCGATTGAGCGCCGGTCGCGCCTCCCGAGGTTGGGGCGTGACAATGACCTACTGCTACGGTTTATATTTTTTGACGTAACTTTTTGCCTATTGCAACGGTTCTATTTGGCTACTGTAATAGCTGAATTGAAACACCAGGTTGCAAATATTGCATATATGATAAATTTTAATACACTAAAATATATATAATTCCCCAATTCACTCCAAATTAATTATCCAACAAGCTAGTAGTACCCACAAAATAAAATGTTCTAACCAAAGTTCATAAGTTTTACAATTAAGTTCCAAAAGGTTCGATAACAAAAAATTCCTAGAATATCTTAAGTTTCATCATCAATTCAAAAGTCATCTTAGGTAAGGTCTAGAGCTTCATCTCTTTCACCTTCCCTTTTAATATTTTCTCCACCTACAAAAGAGGATAATAAAGTCATTACCTTCAACATATTTCTCATTTGCAATTAGAGGCATCCACACAAAAAGATAAGTCAAGAATCAACAAGGCCAGGTCAGGAACACCAACTTTATACAAGTCAAAAATCTCAATCATTTTTCAAGTTGGAAAAACCAACAGTATGATGCCAATAGGAACATACAGAGAACTAACAACTATAGGAAGTTGGTAACCTGGGAATATAAAACCATCAGTATGATTCCAAGGAATATACACACAACTAACAACAATAGGAACTTGGTAACCTAGAAATATTATAAGTTGTAATAGCAACAAAAAAACTGAATATTCCCAGTAACGAAGAAGTACAATACATGTATACGAATATTTCCAGCAAAGAAGAGAAAAACATGTGTAAATAAGTTTTCCAAGTGTTTATAACTGTTAAGGAGCTCAGCCATGGCAGAAAAAGATTCTAGAAGAAGAAGAAGGAATGGAAGAGAAGACTATGTTATTCCATACTGAAAGAAAAGAGAATGAATGTCTGTACAGTATAAGTAACCGACTTCACTATTTATACTAAAAACTAACTAACAACTAATTACATTCAACTCTTAAATAGGTGGGTCCCACTATACTCAACAATCCCCCTCAAGTTGAGGGATGAAACACATCTTTCATTCCCAGCTTGTCTAGTAGGTACTCATGCTGTGGCTTGCATAGGCTCTTAGTTAACAAATCTGCTAACTGCTCAGTTGTTTTGACATATTGTGTTTCAATCAGGCCTTGAACCAGCTTCTCTCTCAGAAAATGACAATCAATATCAATATGTTTGGTTCGTTCATGAAAGATAGGGTGAGCTGCAATTTGCATTGCAGCCTTACTGTCACAATGCAACTGTATAGGCTGAACTATGTAAACTCCATGCTCCTAAAAGAGTCCTGTCATCCACACCACCTCTGCTACAGTAGATGCCATACTTCTAAATTCAGCTTCAGCAGAACTCCTGGATACAGTTCCCTATTTTTTTATTTCCAAGATATCAATGAATCACCAAAATTTTACTATATAGCCTATCACTGATCTCCTAGATTCTACACAGGCCCCCCAATCAAAGTCACATTATGCATATAGGGATTTGCTTGCTTTTGCAGATATAAACAACCCAAGGCCAAAGGCAGATTTTATATACCTCACTACTCTTTGAGCAGCTTCCATGTGGGACACCTTAGGTGCATGCATATACTGACTTAGCACTAGAACTACAAAGGCAATATCTGGCCTTTTCAAGGTTAAGTACAGCAACCTTCCAACTAGTCTCTGATAGCCTCCCTTGTCTTCAAGTTCTCTATCATCTGCCGAACTAGCTCCTGTTATTTGCTTGTCATACTCAATGGATGTAAGCTTGTGATTGAACTCCAGAGGTGTTGCTGCTGGCTTTGGACCTGCTAGCCCTAGTTCAGAGACTAGTTCCAAAGCATACTTCTTTTGACACATAACAATTCCTTCCTGGGATCTAGAGAACTCAATCCCTAGAAAGTATTTTAGTTCACCAAGATCTTTCATTTGAACCTATCTTGCAGATCCTTCCTGACTTGTTGGATCAGACTTAGACTGCTCCCAGTCACTAGAAGGTCATCTATATAGACAAGGATAACTACCAATTCAGAATCTATCTTCTGAGTAAACAAGGAGTAGTCATAGTGACTTTGTTCAAATCCCATATCTATAAGGGCTTCAGTCAGTTTTAGGTTCCACTGTCTAGGAGACTGTTTCAAACCACAGAGTGACTTATGCAACCTGCACACATGCTGATACTCCCCCTGGCTTGAAAAGCCATCAGGTTCACGCATGTATACCTCTTCAAGAAGATCACCCTGAAGAAAGGCATTATGAACATCCATTTGAAACACATACCATCTAGAAGCTGTAGCTAAGGCAATTACAGGTCTCACAGTAACCATCTTTGCCACAGGAGAGAAAGTCTCTGTGTAGTCCAAACCTTCTTGTTGACTGTAACCTTTTGCCACCAACCTGTCCTTATACCTCTCTAAGGCTGTATTGTGGTCCGGGCCCGGGCCTAAACAGGCCAAATGGGCCGGGCCAAATAGTCCCGGGCTTTGGCGGTCCCGGGCCTAACGGGCCAACTGAGTGGAACCGGCCCACTGTGGTCCTAAGCCCACATGGTCCCGGGCTAAATGGGCCGGGCCCATGGGCCTAAACGGGCTTTTTTGTTCCGGGCTTTTTTTTTGATTTTTTTTTATCTAAGGCAATTTCTTGTAAACTATATATGTATATACTAATATAAATTGCTTATATATAGCTATATATATATATATATATAT